ATTTTAAATGAAGAAGATCTGAGAGAGCTAGCAGACAACCTGAAGTGTACAAACATTCACATCATGGGTGTTTCAGAAGGGGAAGAGAAAGGAAAAGACATGGAAAACCTATTCAATGAAATAATAATGGAAAACTTCCCAGGAATAGGGAGAGATGTGAACCTTCAGATCCAGGAGGCTCAAAGATCCCCAAACATATTCAACCCAAAAAGATCCTCTCCAAGACATATTATAGTCAAACTGGCAAAGCTCAAAGATAAAGAGAGAATCTTAAAAGAAGCAAGAGAAANATATATTCAAAATACTAAAAGAAAAAAACTGCCAGCCAAGAATACTATACCCAGCAAGTCTATCTTTCAGAAATAAGGAAAAAAATAGTGTATTTTCCAGACAAACAAAAACTGTGGGAGTTCACCACCACACAACCAGGCCTACAAGTAATCTTCAAGGAAGTTCTGCATCTGGAATCTGAAAAATGATAATCACTACCACGAATACACAAGAAAGAACAAAACCCACTGGCAGAATAAAAATGCAAATAAGAAAGAGAAAGAAACTAAATCTTACCACCACATAAAGCCACAGTGACAATGTAATAATGTCCCTCCTTTATTTCGGACTTTAGTAATTTCAGTCTTCTCGTTTTTTCTTGGTCAGTCTAGAAAAATGTTGGCAAATTTTGTTGATCTTTCTAAAGAATCAACTCTTGGTTTTGTTGATTTGTTTTTTAATTGCCTATTTCATACATTTCTGTTATAATTTTTGTTATTTCCTACTTATATTTGTTTTGATTTAGTTTGCTCTACTTTTTCTATTTTCTTAAGACATAAGTTTACTGATTTGAGAGTTTTCTTATTTTTAATATAGGTGTTTACAAGTATAAATTTTCCTCTAAGCATTGCATGAGCCCTGCATCATATAATTTTGATATGTTGTGCTTTGATGTTTATCTTAAAGTACACTCTAATTTCCCTGTGATTTTTCTTTTTACCCATTGTTTATTTAGGAGGTGTTGTTTAATTTCNCTAATTTCCCTGTGATTTTTCTTTTTACCCATTGTTTATTTAGGAGGTGTTGTTTAATTTCCGCATATATGTAAGTTTTCTAAATTTCCTTCTGTTATTGTGGTCAGAGAACATATTTTCTATTATCTTAGTCTTAAAAAGAAGGAAAAGGAAAAATTTAAACAAATTTTTAAAAGTTCATGGAAAGATTTCCATTATGTTT